ATATAAACGAGATTTTAGAATAATCAAAAAGAAGATGAGAGAAAAAGAAGAGAAACAAAGAAAGAAACAAGAGTTAGAAGAAAAAAGAAAATTAATAGAACTTCAAAAAGAACAAGAACGATTGAAGATTGAAGAAGAACGAAGAATTTTAGAAATAGAAGAACAAAAGAAAAATGAATTATTAACACAAGAACGAAAAGAAAAAAAAATTCGATTATTAAACTTATTTAATTTAGAGAAAGAAAATGAACATTTTAAATGTGGGATCAAAAATGTAATTGTACAAATGGAAGATGATGAATTAAATACTATCTCATCATTACAAGAGCAATCAGCAATAGAATTTTTGAGACATAAAACAATTCAATATCTTGAAAAGAAAGAAAAAGAAAGAGAACATCAACTTCATAGAAATGTATTAGATGAATGGAATTCTAATGATATTGAATTATTTAAAAAAGGATGTAAAAAATTTCCTGTTGGTACAGAAGGAAGATATAGAAGAATTGCAACATATATGAAAACAAAGAATGAGAGTCAAGTTATTGAATATGCAAAAGCTTTAAATGCAAAAATGCATACAAATATTCAACAAAAGAAAAATAATAATAATAATAATGTTCTTGATTGGAGCAAAGAACAACAAATTCAATTACAAAATGGTATTAAACAATTAAATGGTTATAAAGAACAAGATAAATGGGATAAAATAGCTCAAATGGTAGAAGGTAAAACCAAAGAACAATGTATTGAAAGAGCTCAATATTTAAAACAATTAGCATTACAAAAGAAATCAATGAAATAAATATTTTTACAATTTTAAATTTGTTTTTTTATTTAAAAAAAAGAAAAGAAGTAAAGAATTAATAATAATTAGTGAAAAGTACATTTAAAAACAAATCAATTTGTTTGAGCTGATATAGTAATTTGTAAAGGTTGAATCCATATGAATAATAATAAACAAAAAACAATAAAATATGTTAAAAGAAATGTCACCAATGAAACATAAACAATTGTCTGTAGTAATAATGGTTGTTGAGAAAACCATGGATTTAAATTAACAAAATATAACACTCCAAGAACTAACCCAACAATAACACTTCCTAATAAACATGTAAAATCTTGTAATGGAAATAATTGTGCAAATACTATTACTAAAAGACCTATTAATGATGTAAAAACTGCTCTTTTAAATTGTACTTTATAACTTTGGTTTGTTAACGCTAAGTCAACAAGAAATACTGATATTAATCCAGCAAATGGTCCCATAGAACATACTGCAATATTATTACAACTTAATACACAACTTAATAACACCCCTGCCTCTCCACTAATAATATACGTAACAAAGAATAATATTATTCCCCATCTATGCTCAAAATATAAGAAAAATCTTAGTGCAAATATAATTTCAACTATTAACCCAAATAATGATGGACTAAGAAATAATGATGTAAAAAGTCGATATATTTGATAATTTTGACTATTTTAAATTAATTTTTCTTCTTATTTTATTAATTTGATATATATCCTTCTAAA